AACTCACAGTGATCCTCCTGCTTCAGCCTCCCGAGTGCTGGGATTACAGGCATGAGCCACCATGCCCGGCTTGTGTTAATAATATTGAAGTCAAAATAGTGAAATAGATGAAATACAACACCAGATTTGAGGCTGCATCTTTGTCCTGTTACAGCCCAAGTGGAAATTAACACCAAAAAGTTTTAAATTTGAGGTTATTGGCTTTTTCGGTGTTACTTATATTACATTCACAAGTGTGGTTTTTGTTCTCATGTAGGATTTACATAAGAATTTAAAAAAATATATAAAAGTAATATTGAAATAAGTATGATTTAAACCAACCTTGAAGGTCAATAAGAATTTATTATCTTTAAAAGGCATTTCTGTAACACTCTCTTCGAAAAATATTTTTGTAACCTGTCTTGTCATGGAATTCTCTCCAACACATGCATACACATGTACACACACACACAAATACAAGTACACATGCACAGGTTCTAAAATGTGAAACAGGCAGTCTCAGGCTGGCCTGTGATTCGTCTCTGCGCATGAGCAGGCCACCCCATCTCTGCTTCTCCATTGCTTTACTGTAACATATATGTGAAGGGTGTTGACTGCTGTTGGTCCAGGACCCACCCTAGGAGAGGACTGGGAGGGACTCAGAACCAGATGGAGACAAGACAGCTGGAGGGGAAGGTGCCTCTGCATGGAGGATTTCTACTCTGGATCAAGAGAGATTTCTTCTTTGTGTCTTAGAGCCTTATAGATCCCTAGTAGGTGTATGAGCTGGAGCTTCGGTTCAAACAGAGCAGGGTTCGAGCTTTGACAAGATCTACAAGTAACCTTGGGTGATTTACTTAGACTGGTTCTTTGTCTAAAAGGTTGATAATAGTAGTATCAATCTCATCAGTTTTTTTGTTGAATTACAAAAAATACTGAGAAGCAGTGGCTTACCCAAGTGCTAGTGCATGATGTATCACTTTAGTTTCTGCTCTGTGAAGCAGTACAAAGCCTTTATGTGTTCCCATGGGTGCTGTGTGTGGTATGAAGTCAGGCCAGGTTGATCTCAGGTTGTTTCTCTCCATGTGGCCTGTGGCTTTGTGTGGACCCAAGTCCTAGCCTCTGGACATTTTTTTTGTTATTGTTGTTATTTTGTACCTCAAGTGAAGGAGAATCCCACGGGCAAGTGGTTAGACTCAGAGCTGGGGAGGGGCAATAGGACCAGGGACAGGAAGTGGTTCATTCTCCTCCATTCCTAAGTGAAGGGTTAGGGTTACGGTTAGGTGAGACCAGCAGCTGATCACATCTGTTCATGTTCTATTGATACCTGGTCCCTTTCTCTCATCCTGGTTCTATTACTTTTGCCTTTGTCTTTCATCCTACTTTGATCTGGTCTGCATTCTTTTACTAGACTAATATTCTTGAAATATCTTAAGTAATCTTAAGTAAACCTCTCATGGATTTCCATGAAAGCTTGGCATTCAATGCCTTCCCTAACCCTTCCCACATAAACCCTGCCCAGTCAAGGTCATTCTCTCATTTATGCCCAATGAGATGTGGTAGCTTTTGCCCGTGCTGCATTTTTTTTTTCTGGAATACTGTTCCCTTCAAATCCAAACCACTCTTAAGAGTCTCCTGCGGTTTTTCTGTCTTGTTGCACAGCCTTTGTTGCATAGCTCTCTGCTCATCTCATCTCCCATAGCACCAGCCTTGGGCCCTCCTCACTTAGTACCTTGCACTGCCTAGCCAGGAGCATCCTATTTTCTTGGCATGCCAAGTCCACAGACTCTTGAGAGTGTAGGAAATACCCTATGCACAATTGTTGAATGTATATGAGAACGAATCATTCTAATTGACATCTTTACTTGTTGCCTCCTCTGCCCTCTATATCTAAGTCTTGACCTTGAAGTCAAATAGTCAATTCCTGGTAGGGAGTTCCCTGGTAGGGAATATTTTTCTATTTTAGATCCTGCCCAACTTAGATCAATTCTCCTATCAAGACTTTTATTTGTATTTATGGAAGGAACAAATAAACAAAATTTAAAATAACAAGTTTATCTTTGTCTTACTCTGTAGTCCAAGTGAAGGACACTTTTAACATTTTCTCTCTTGTGACTTAAATTTTTCTTCAAGCTGAAGTGACTAGTCTACTAAGCAAGTGAACGTTTAGTCCTGCAGTAGCTAGTGCACCAGTCTGGAGTAGGGCATGGCAGCCATAACACCTTTCCTTACAGGTCACTCGCCAGGCAGAGGTCCCTTTGCAGGGAGTGCCAGAAGTCCCATTCCTTGGGGCCAATACTTTCTAAAGTCAGAAACCTGGAGCCCCCGAGCAGAACCCATCTATCACATCTCGGAGAATCCTGGTTATTTTTCTCTGGCCATTTCTCTGTCCCATTTCTATTGCTGCTGCTTGCTTAGTCACCTGGGATCTGGGGCCAAGCACAAGGGCCCTGGAGTGGAATCTGTTCAGGAGCTAGGCAGTGTCCAACTCAGTGGGGAGAAACTTGAGGCTAAGTGAAGAAAATCACTAAAGTGTGGGATTCCGGAATACTGTTTTTATGAGTGAATGAAACTATGCTATTGCTCACATAGGACTTCCTAGAATAAAGTGGTCCTAGGAGAACTGGGAAGTATTTAGCTGGGGAAACAGGAGCTTCCAGGTCTGGAAAGCTCTCTCCCCAAGGTTTCTTTATTCCTGTAATGACACTTGTGGTGGTGGCTGTTATTCCTATAAAAAAGAATGCAATTCCTCTCTCTCCTGTGGTTCCTCTCTCATGTCCCAGGCAGAGGCCACAGTCTACTCTCCACCCCATTTCCCCAGTCATCTAGCAAGGCACCCAGTTCTTACCTGGCAGCCCCAGCAGGGTGAAGTAGCCCCGGCACTCAGTGAAGCCAGAGCTCTCTCGGACACAGGAGCGCCACAGCCCTTGGTAGTTGAACACAGCAGTCACTGGGTTGTTGTATAAGTCCTGGGTGCTCCATTGGTCCATGCAGGTTGCTGCAATGATGCCTGCAAGCCCGATCAGTGAAACCACAAATCCTAAGCCCTGGCAGGCAGTCACAGACATGATGGAGTATGGTGTCAATGTAGAGCACAGCAAGACAAAAGACAGCCCTGTTCTGAGGGTGCTAACTGTAGGGATGTAGTTTTCTCGGAGAGACTGGCGCACACGTCACGAATGGGCACTGTGATGTGTGTGTTTTGGGGCAGGGGACGACTCACCAGAGCCACCTGGGCTTGCCTTGCTCCTTTATCTACCCAAGTGAGATAATTTCCATAACATGGTACCAAGAGCCATTTGTTTCCAACCATATGTACACTCTACTCACTGTTTACTTTTTGAGGGAGTTTCTCTCCTGATTAACCAGATTTCCCTCTGCAAAGGGTAAAGCAAGAGCAGAGGTGGCTGCCTCAAAGGTGCTGTGGGCTTAGTGGGGCTTCCAGGGGCTAAAATACTTGGAGGTGCAATGGACAACCACCTTGCTTCAAAAACTTAAGCACAGATGATTATGAGGTATGATAAAGAATCACTGACTTTTGTTCATATTATTAGTTACATTTTGTAAGGTCCCAAAGAATGTTGAATTTAGCAAACACTGAATTATTGCTTAGAGGGGAAATATAGGGTTAGGTTCCTATGAACCTCTGGTCATGGAACTCGGGTCCTTGCGCTTGTGAGGCAGGCGGCAGAACCACTGAGCTAAATCCCCGGCCCTCATACACAACATTTTAAATGCCAATATAAATGCAACATTTTCAACACCAATATCAAATTTTATTTTATGTGTCTTTTTATTTAATGACAGCTTATTCACTACATATTGTTGGTTCATTAGCGCTGGTATCACAGTCAACAATAGTCATGCCCATCACCTAACATAGTAGTAGACCAAGTGTCCAAACCCATTTATTTTTCACAATGTGCCAACACTGCAATTAAACCTGAACACTGTTTTGGTTTAGAAAAAACAACTCACACATTAACATCCTTTGTCTTAGAACAACACATGTGCGGTAGGTTTGCCACCGCTGACCTAACACATGTATCTTCTCCATGAGGCATGGCACAGCCTACTTGTGCTTATAAATGGTAGATAGTGTTCAGCATTATGCACAGGGGCCATTTTAAACAGTAAAATTGACAAAAAGCACAGAAGTATTTCACCAAATATATTCCAAAAGGGATACTTGTTTACAATACGGGACCTGAAAAACAAAGCAGAGTGTGTCTTACTCAACCTTAACTGGGAATATGCAACCTGAGCAACTCAACATTTTTTCCCTCAACACGTGTCTAATGATTGTGGAAGTGTTAGGAGCACTGATTTTGGGGTTAAAATGAATTTTGGGGAAACTTGCCAATATGGAATACACAAATGGTGAGAATCAACTACAGTAGTTGTTTGATGGAACTGGCTTGTGAATACGGTGATACCTCAGCTTTTATGGAATCGACTCTGCCTTAATTCATGGAGAGCAGAGGGAGGCAGCACAAAGGACTTTGGGCTCTGGAGTTAGATGGTTTGGGATCAGTCTCCACTCTATTGCTTACCGAGCAAATGTACACAGCAGCTAAATCACTTACCCTAAAATGAGATAGTAACAGTGTTTACCTGGATTGTTTTGTAGACTAAATATGAGAATACATGTGAAATGCTGAGCATTGCATATGGAACACTGCATTCAGAACATACCAGCAAATATTAAAATCCTAGAGCAGGCTGGTGATAATCTAAGGAAAAACTTCAGCAGGTGATAATCACTCTCACATTGTATTTCTTCACATTAATCAGAAACTAAACTCCAACTTTTTTGCAAAAATTGTCTCCATATCAATAAGACTTTTTTGTTCTAATATCATTTCTTTTGTTTTGTTTTGTTTTTTTTTTTGGTTCTGGGGATTGAACTTGGGACCTTGCACTTCTGAGGCAGGAGGCAGAACCACTGAGCTAAATCCCCAGCCCTCTAATATCATTTCTATTTATTTTGACTCTGATTTCAGGTATCAACTGTTGTACCTCAGTTTCTCTATATCTAAAATTGAGAGCTTAGCTATCTCACAAATTTCTTAATTAAAAAAATTCTTCTAGTATAACATTGTTAGGAGTACTAATGTGTTATGTAGATAAAAAATATGTGTGAATGTACATGTGTAACCTTGTGTAGCAGTAGGAGGGGAGGAGGAAAGACGTGCTATGGAGGGAAAAGTCTGCCCACTTTTCTTTTGCTCCCTGAAGAACTTCTGAGGTCAATTACTAGAACATATTGGGGCTCCAGGAAGCATAATTTGAAACAATTGGATAAGATTCATTTAATAATCTATTTAACAATTTACACAAGGAAGGAGTGGACTAGCAAAATAAGCTCATTGGACCAGGAAGAAAACAACAAAGCTGGAAAAGCTTAGTTTCAGTTTGGTTTATGTATGGAAAAAGAAAAAAAAATCTCCTAAGACTATATTAAATCTATGAGCTTCTGTTTCATATGTGATCAGGGTTTATATGTACATACTTAAGGCCATTGTCCTGGAACTCACACATTAAGTAAATAGCTTTAAAAGGTGACTCCAGGCTGTTAATACATCTAGAATGACTTGCTCATGCAACTGCCAAACACTCCATGAATAGGAATTCTGCTCTGATGCCTTCACTAAACTTGAACTCAAAACCCAAAATGCAAAATCTGTTATAAGCAGAATACTAGTAAAGGAGCTCCTAAAGAAAATAATCATTCTGCTTCATTGTGTCTGTCAATTTTCATGGTGTAAGTGTTCCCACCATGGTTGATTTCAAGGTGCCAATGTGAACACAAAGTCATTGAATGCAATGTGTAGAGATCCATAGGATCAACTTTCACAATCTGACCTCAGTGCACCACTTAGTAATGAATGCTTACAAATGAACCCTCTCTAGGAAAACGAGACTAGTTGAAGACATAAGGGAAAGAACTGAAACCACAAGTATATACAAGTCATCATGAAAAGAACAGGAAGGGGCTGGAGGTGTGGCACGGTGATAGAGTTCTCGCTTAGCATGCATGAGGTCCCGAGTGCAATCCCCAAAACAGAGAACAACAATTGCAAGCCAAAAAGCAAATAAAAACAAAACAAAGCAGGAAGGTGTTCTCTTTCTGTCTTATAATTTTGAAAAATTAAATGTTGTATGTAGTCAATAAAACAAAAACTCAGTGGGCAGAATAGTAGGCCCAATTTTGACTTTCTTCTATTGCTAGCCCTTTTGACAAAAAAGGACTATACAGACATAATTAAAGTTATAAATTAGCTAATCTTTAAATTTGGAGATTATTCTAGTTTATCTAGGGAGGCTCAGTGCAATCATATTATCCCTACCCAACTGTAAAAGAAGGCAGAAAAGGGAGTAAAAGATGCAATCGAAAGGTAAGAGATCTGAAGAATGAGAAGGATTTGATATATAATTGTTGATTTCAAGATAAAAGGGGTCACGTGTCAAGGAAAAAAGAGCCTCAGTCGTACAGCTGCGAAGAACTGAAATCTTCTGAACAAGAGTGAGCCTGGAAGAGGACTTGAAGCCCCATATGAGGCCACAGGCATGTCAGATTCCTTGATTTAAGCCTGGTGAGACCTTAATGAAGCAGAATGGACTGTATTTGACTTTTTGATATTAGCTTGATATAAACTGGAGACATTCTGGATTTGATGAAGTCACTGTTGGCCCGATCACTTTTTACAAGCCCCCCATTTTCGGATCCAAATCTCAAGAATCCACCAGGCCATGCTGCTGCCTGGGAACATGCTTCTGTCAGCAAGCTCCCAATAAATTGCACTCTGTCCAATGCTGGACTTCTCTATCTCTTTCTGCAGTCTCATAGCGTCTTGGATTCTCATAACTGGATTTTTCTGAAATAGGCAACAAATATGAAAGGGTCCGGCAATCTCTCTTCTAGGTACATTTCCAAAGCAAGTGAAATCAGGACCTCACAGAGATTTCTGCACTGTTGTGTTCATTGTAGCATTATTCGTAGTAGCCAAGATATGGAAACAACTTGCCTGAGCACTGATGAAAGAATGGATAAAGAAATTGTGGAAATTTGCTAAGAGAGTAGATTTTAGGTGCTCTTACCCCTACCCCACTCGGTAACTATGTGAGGAGATTGCTATGTTAATTTGTTTGACTGCAGTAGTCATTTCATTAACTATAGGAAAATATTTACATGTCTTAAATGTACACAATTATTAAAATAATAATAATAATAAATGGGACAAATCGGAATAGACACCTCACCAAAGAAAATAAACACATTGCAAATAAGCCCATGAAAAGATACTCAATATACAATATTCCTAGGGCAGACCTTTGTAGGGACAGAGAGTTGGACTCAGAGGCAGACATAAAAACGCAGAATTCCTGGGTATTCTGAGCGATCCTGGGGAGGGCAGTAGAATTTTCCAGGGTATGGAAGGAAAGCTCAAACCAGCCTCATTTAGATCTTTGAGGTCTAGAGAACCACAATTTCATTCATATAACAAGTCAAATGGAGTTTCAGATCATGAACAGCGAACACATCTTGGTGATGAGCTCAGTCATGGAAAAGATTAAGGTCAGCATAGTCATTCCGACTCCCAGCAGTGGAGTACCTAGAAGACCTGAACTGAGAACAGAGTATTCTGATTTAAAATGTCTTCCAGTGATTGGAAAGCAGGCTCCTTTCAGTCCTACCCATCTGGCTGCCACAGTCCTAGGTGATCTTCCAAATGCACACAGGTCAGCACAGAAAATACTCCTTCTATCTAACCTGTTCAGATTGCTAGTGGTCAAGGATGTTTGGGAAACTTGCAGGAGGTTTTCTTTTTTTTCCCCCAAATCTGAGAATAGGAGAAAACAGTCTCAGTATTTATGATAACATGAAGAAGTTCATGTCCTCATTTTAATATAATTGTGAGATTTTCCTTATATCTCTTATCAAGCTGGGACTCTGTTTCCCAGAAAAATAGAAAATGTGTCTTACCCATAGAATAGGAACTATTGGAAAAATAAATATACAATGTTCAGGGGTCTTTAGTACTTAATTGAGGGCTCTGAAAAAACA